AGGCTAACAAGAGTCTCAGTCTGTGTGGGCATTAGCACCAGTGTTAAATAAGAAAACGTGACGTCACGGTAAAAAATTTCCAATAGGGAAAATTAAATATATTGCTAGCAATATCCTTAAAGAATTAGACTATCACTCTGTGATGTAGTTTATTTTTGTGTTAAATAACTACAGTCTATTAGACTATCACTATGTGATGTAGTTTATTTTTGTGTTTAAGAAAAATGGCTACAGTCTATTGAGATCAATGGACTATAACTGTTATGTAGCTTATTTCTGTGTTAACACATGACTACAGTCCATAAGACTATCACTCTGTGATGTAGTTTACTTTGTGTTAATAAATCGCTACAGTCTATTGTCATTAATGGACTATAACTGTTATGTAGCTTATTTTTGTGTTAACACGTGACTACAGTCTAATTTGATATAATTTCTGAAATACCGGGATCTTATTTTTGCATTCCATTTTTCTTTTCATTTATTTATGATAATTTTTGGAACGGACTATCACTATATTTTTGGTGATGTGACTGGCTGGTGAATGAACAGCCCGTTACAGTCTGTTCTGCTGTTTATTTATTTTTTGTATTTTTCTTCGGCGGACTATCACCTCGGTGATGTTGTTAGCACTAACAGCTAATGACAGTCTGTACGAATATTTCAACTGGAATCCACTTTATTTCATTTATCGAAAGGAATTTTAAGTTTGTACATGGACAAACATGTATTTATAATTAGCTCCTTTCAAATAAAAGTGGGGGGAATGTTGTGTTCGTGCATTTTCCTACCTTCACCAGGTGTGCTCTCCCTGCGCGGAGAGCGCGCAATTACGGTACTGCGCACACCAGGTGGAAGGCCCAACTTCCCTGCCTGATCCCGGTGAGTACAACTCAACCAGAGCTACCGTGCAGACGTGTACGGTACCGACTACGAAAATAATCAGAATTGAGACACAATACACAGTGATCTACAATCTCACTCCGTAAGTAGAACCAGTGAATACTTTAATAACATGAGACGGCACACACAAACACAATCACTAGACAGGAGGTAATACAATGAGCGAAACATATAAAGCAACACAATACATGGGGATAAAAAATGTGTATACTTATCACTTTCTGCTCGACCTCCTTTAATTCCGCCGTCCACTGCAATTAACTAATGCCTGTACACATCCTGAAATGAAAGAATTAAATGCGTAGAGTCCGATTTCAAAATAATATAGTGAACACAGTTACAATTGTCACTGTCCGTTTAGATCATGAAAGTCCTTGCATTCTGATTGACCACTGTCTCCGAATGAATACAAGGCCTCCGCTGTGGTGGATCTCATCACACGCAATAATGGACCGGTGAATTACGAAGAAGTACTGGCACATCGGCAATCACCAGGGAATCGCATCGGAGAATCTTATTTCGGAATCACCAGGGAATCGCATAGAAGAATCGCACCTCAGAATCATCAGGGGATAACACCGGGAAGTTGCACCTTGGAATCATCAGGGAATACTTCAGGAAAGTTGCACCTCAGAATCACCATGGATTACCTCACCAGGAAGTAATACCGGAAAATCGCATCTGAATCACCAATCTGTCGGAGATCAGTCTGTAAGTCAGTTTTCATTGTAGCTCCACACTATGGAGAATCGGAGAAGGATATTCGTTAAACCTCCTCTCAGAGCCACATTTACTCTGTTATAAGTCCGCAAAGTGAATACTTTGGAGTTCAATTTCCGATACACCAAGATATCACATATTAGGTCGGCGAATAGTTAATCTAATGCTCAGAATATAATCGTATTTCTGTCTTTGTCATAAGAAAGTCACGAGCTCACCTGTACAACTTTGTGCTTGATCGGAGCTCACGGCTTCATCAGAAAAGTGTATCCGATCTCAATGAAAGAAAAAAACGATCCACATTTTAGTCCAGGAAAGTCACATTTGACTGCTGAGCATTTGGTAATCCTGTCGACTGCGCCATTTTCGTAACCGAGGCACGACAACAAATGTATTGTCCTTTTAGAAAAATCTTTATTCGTACTATCTACACAGCCGATCACTGGTGTATCTCACTTTGAATTACGCGCCAACCGCTTTTATAGTCCAGGGTCACATGACCCACGTGACATAAAAAGGGCGCTAACACCAGTATGCATATTCATATCACATATTTATATACAAGAGCTATTTATAATAAGGCACTTATATCAATGTACGCTACAATATACTATTACATATTTGAATATACATATACATACAATACATATATCCTATTACATTACGAAAATAATGTGAGTGGGCACGGGGTTAAGAACAATATGTAAATAAAGGAGGTTTTTGTTGGAGGAGGAACACTTTCAAGAGTCTGTACATACTCTTTTCAGGAAATTTAAATTTTGAAGACAATGAATAGGTAAGAATGATGCACCTCTTTCCATTCCTCTCATTTCTAGAAATAATCCACAGACAAACTATTTATTTTAGCTATACGGAATTTTTTTTAAAGATTTTATCTGATCCCCTGAGTTGTTTAATACATTAAACATTCACCTTTCGTACATACTACATTTTATTTATCCTTATTATCACATCAGCTTTCGTTAACTGTGGGGCATTTAGTCTGTACACTTACGTAGTAGCAGTAGTGCGGCTCCCTCGGTTGTAGACGCTATGGAGTTGTCTTCACCTACACCCCCCTCGGTACGGTCCTCATCAGACACTGTCTACGATTTCACCACCTGGCACTGTGCAGTGCTCTTAAATGTTTCTCCTTGTATATTTTAAGACATTTTTTTTTATTTGGACCTCAATTACGATGGAATGCCAACACTGTTATTATATACAGTTGTTATAAACACCGCTGTTATAACCACTTAGCACACACCCAATCATCAATTGTGACGAGGTAAATTAAAAAACGTGCGGCTTAAATAAGATATTCATATAATTATCCTGTTTACGTGTATGTATGGATATTAATAGCTCCGGCAACTTTGTTTGCCCTTGCAAACCAGGTACCCAAAGTCGGCAACGTGGGGTGTGTATATGTCAGGCACCTGATAGTTAGATAAATTTATTAAAACCTACTAAGGACTTCCTATTACCTTGATTGATTGACTCAGTGATCGGTTGATTGCTTGAAGACTAAATATTGTTCGTGGGTCGTGAATTTGATAATAAGTTAATTAAGAATGTCAATTTGGCTATTAGCAACATTATCCAAAATTACGGATGAATTTTTATAACGTTTTCAAGGTAGGACAAATGTATTACATCTTGGTGGTGATTAATAAATTAATAGTTAATAGTTAATATTAACAGTTTTTTTTTTCAATAAAAATGCAACCCCGAAGGTTGAAGAAGTACAGTTTAAAAAAGAAAATTAAACATAATGGACTGAGGTAAGTAACACTTAAAAGGGACCTGAAATTTTAAAATCATTTATTTGTGAAAGATAACTTTAAACGATCAGTCTTAACTATTGGAACTTTAGAATTGTTCTTCTTCTTTATGATCGTATCTTTCTTTCATGCAAACAATGTTTAGTTTATATTCTGAATTTTGAAATAAAATCCCAACCCTTATTTAGTGTTGTCTTTCTTTGTTATGGGGTGTTGAGTTTATGGACCTCTACCTATAGGACATATTAATTACTTAAACCTTGGTAGCCTATATGATCCTTACAGCTTTTTTGGATAGATTCAATAAATTCAGAGTTTTATTAAGTCCACCAAACAGGGAAGCATACTTTAAGGCTTCGTTCACATGGAATGTCTATTTTCTAAAAATCTATTTTCTATTCGCGCTATCTTATGATCACGGTCTGTGCCCTGAATATCCCGCGGCGTAATTACTGGCAGCGCGAGCCTGTTACTTATAGTAACTTATAGTAACTGGCTCGCCCTGCCAGTAATTACGCCGCGGATATTCAGGGCACAGACCGTGATCATAAGACATACCGCGAATAGAAAATAGAATTTAGAAAATAGACATTGCATGTGAATGAAGCCTAAGACAGGTCAGTTAATGAATTGATTAACTAGTAGATGAATTAGCAAATACAATTATTAATCATTAAGCTTTTTAATTAAAGATAATGATAACTTAAATTATTAATTAACAATTATGATAAATTAGCTTATTGATCAATTATTATATAGTAAATATTATTAAGAATTAAACTGCCTTGGGGAAGGTCTGCACTCTCTGGGAGTTTTTCTAGTTTCAAAAAGCTATGCACCCAAACCAAATATACATGTAGAGGTGCATTTCACATGCTTTAGTATTAAAAATAAAATTGAATATGTGCAAAAAACAAAAATCCACGGCTGTCTCAATTTGACGTCTACATTTAATTATATATATAATTTTTACCATTCCTTTACATTATGTAAAGGGGTCTAAATGGTAACTTACGTTCCAGGCCGTTTAATTTTAATTTTTAGATCGCGATCCGATATATTTTGTAGTAATTCAGTCGTGGTATATTACATATTACGAAAGGGTGTTTTTATAAATAATGTAATTCAAGGGACTTTGCTTCATGGCTAATACTACGTAACGTATATTCCCTAGGAAAACTGTCAGTTTCATCTTGCCCAAGTACTTAGTCCAATAGGAAACAGGGTTTTCTGTTGCTAACTGGAAAATTAATTGTGATTTCATGATACTTTGACATTTCTGATATAATATTTGGATATATAGTTTATTTGATGCTAGTTTAACTGTCAGTTGGGTGTATTTTCCCCATTTATAAGTATTAAGTGACGAGCAAACTGAAGCCGCTAAATAATAATAATTATAACTGCTCTATACAGAAGATAATCCTGATTTTTTACGTTATACTTGTAGGAGATAAATTAAAGAAAAAAAACAGTGAAGATTGAATTTTCAAAGTGAGTGATACGTTTCCACAGCTGAACGTTTTGCATTTGTGACAGTAACGTATGTTCCTTTTTGGGGTTACACGACGAATTATTTTTCTATTATTCATGGTTCCAGGAGAGTGATACTATGATGCAACTTCTTCATGTGGGACCCTAAAATAATCAAACATAGTCTGTAATGTGCACCAAGCATATTAAAAGCATGCCTGTGACTTCATATGCGCCTCTATATTGGGTTTGGTTGTAAAATCAAAAATACAATTAATGTGTAGTTTGCTGTATTAACTCGCCTTTTCATTATGAAAAGAACAACCAACTGTATTTGCAAAGTCCTAGAGCTACAGAGTATATACAGAGTATTTATCTTAAGAACAATCATGGACTCTGGCGTTATCACGGCGTGGGGTTTGGTTTTTCTTGCAAATAAGTTGAACTATATATATTTTTTATTACTAACCCACCTTTTAATTTTACACTCTTACAATTACAATTTGTCAGGGCCCATAAATCAAAAAAAATTTGGTGACAGTAATTCATGACATGTACATGTATTTGGTAAAAAAAGGAATAAAAATAACACTTGTTTGGCAAAAACTAGTTTATGTACTTAAGTTTGAGTAAAGCATTACATATTGTCTCTTTAAAGTAGTAGATTATCGCTTTTGTGCACACAAGAAAAAAAACAACTAAACATAAAGGCAATATCCTTAATGCTTCCCCTGCTGAATACATAGACTAATTATACTACTCTGCGCGGAGTACCTAATTTACATGTACTACAAGTCATTGCGCACTTATAATTTACATAGCACAATCCTATATATAAGGTCCATATTCATCTTGTTCAACACACATGTTGTTATAGAAAATGAGGTGATAACCGTTGCTAAAAACAGTTGGGGTCATGTGCTTAATAACGTCTAAGTCAAAGTACTTTTGTGATGATTTAAATGTAACAAACATTGCGTCTAAATCTGCTATCAGAAACTGGTGTTTAAAAGCAATAATACATGAAAACATCTTTGTTGTCAGTTTTGAGATCTATAGAACTAGTCCTGGGCGATATACACACCGTCCATATCTGGCCCTAGACCTGACACTGCCTTGGGCCTCTGATCGTGACATTTCGTGTGAGGAAGTGCATTGTAAACACACACACACACACACACACACACACACACACACTACTTTATGCAATAAACCATATATATAGGCCTATTGAACAAAGTCACTGTAATCGCTAGTTTAAAAAGTTTCATGAATGAATCAGTAAATCAAGGGTGGGAAGTGGGTCTATCCTTTACATAATGAAAGGTTAAGTCCAGCTATTGTCCCAAACTATCATATATTATATTACAAATCTACTTAATATCAAGATATTCTCAATATACAATGGGTTTTGTTATGCATGTACCCCAGAGCAGCCAGTGGAAAGTTGTGTATCCGTCTATGTAAATGGGTTGTTCTCCTCCCACATCAATGCTAGGAAAGATATACACGCATTGCTTGTATTGTATGGTCTTAAAGGTAAATGTACACATAGTGTAAGTTAAAACATTTTTACAAACTTCGATTATGACAATGCTTCTAGCGTGACTACGTTATTCGTGCGCTAAGTCTTTATTACCTTGCTTCTACTCAAGGTTGATCTCTCCCGGATGACTAGTCTATGGAAATAACCAAACCCTTATTGGAAATAATAAGTTTATAAAAGTGAATAAAACGGTATTAAAGTGTTTAGTTAAAAGTCTGTGGAGTTGTATGACCACTCAATTGAAATTCATTGTTTTCGTTATTATTTCTGCGGGAACTTGGTCACAGGAGGGATCACGGCAATTTTGTTGTTCGATTGTTATATTTTTGTTTTTCTTCTTTTTTTTTTTATTTTTGGATTTTTGTTCACTTGCAGTTTGGTGAGTTGCCGTCGGTTCCTGTATATTCGTGTCACTAACCCGTGAATGCATGTCAGATGTAGGGCCTGTGGAACTGGGGAACTCGTCCTCCCCCTCAGCAACGCGACGTTCTTGTAGTGGAGTGCTGAGTGATGAAAGGCGGGGTTTAGGATGATGAGGTGCTGGCTCTCCATCTGCGTCTGACCAAGATGCCGTGGTGTTCGGCTCTACAGGCAAGGCTTGGGGTAAGGGTTCTATCAGAGTGGTGTCGTGCGTCGGATGTGCCGAGCCCGCATCTTTTAGATCATATGAAGCATTTACTGGCGCTGCATCCGCCTCGACAGCGTAGTCAAAATTGTGAAACAAGGTTTTTGAGGGAGGATGGTAAGGCTTCACATTTTTCGAAGCTTTGTTGTTTGCATCCAACAAAGGTACCGTGCTGTTCGGATCTACGGATACACCTGGTACGGATAAGGATTCTATTGAAGTGGTGTCGTCTGCAGTGCCTGCATCTTTCAGATTATCTGGAGCATTTACTTGATTAGTTTGGTTGGAGTAGTCAACATTATTTGGCACTGAGTTTTGGGGAATGTCATCAGGCTTTAAAATGCCAGAAGGTGCGCCTCCGCCTTCTACTTCAACGAACAGAACGTTAGTTGCTGATTGCTGATTTGTGCCTGGAGACATTCTTTTCCCGTGAGCAGGCAAACCTGACATGGTCGAGTTACTTTCCTCTGGATTGGTTTTAGCAGCAAGATCCCTAGAGCTTAAAATGTTTTCCTCCACCTCAGTAAGTTCATTGACATGGTTCACGTGCTTAATCCCAGTTTGTTGAACATCACTCTGCTGTTTAATCGGTGCCATGTTATAAACAACTCGTAATGGCGGTAATGGTTTCACGGGATCTGAAACGTTCTGTGAAGTTTGGGGCGCCGACTTGTCATTTGCGGCCAACTCAGAAGCTGTGTTGTTCGGATCTTTGGGTTGCAGTGACTTTATCGGGTTTGTTCCGTAGGTCGGATGTGTTGCACCTGAATGCGAGGTTTCAGCGTGAAGTGGGAAGTCAAGCAACGAAGCATCTTTCTTGTCAGATGTATTACAGAATGAAGGCGACGCCTCATCGATGACCTGCCTAGTCTCAGAATCACCTGCAGAAGGAGGTATCGCTCTTCCATTCTCCACTCCAACATTGTTATCCACGCTATCAGTTTCACAGTCACCGTTTCTATTTTCAGAGGTTCCTGAACCAGCATTATCACCACTATTATTAAAAGGGTGAACTCTGTTCTTGCCAAATTTCAACGAAGACGCTGCTGTCGCAATGTACAGGATAAGAGTCCAAAACCGGTGCCAAAGCATACAAATAAACTGTATGATTGTCACCAGAATGAATAAACTGAGAAACAAAAGGCTCAAGATATCCGATTTCTGTTCGTAGCCGTTGTGGTCATGCCAACGAATAAATATATCAGTTTGATTTTGGACGAGGATCGTAAAAGTTATCCAGACAGCGTTGCAGAAGAGAACAAATATCATGGAATTGTTGCGTAGTGTTTTCAAATCTTTCTTCAGTATTTCTTCATCTGCGTTTTTGTCTATTGGTTCAAGACGGAATTTTATCAGATGCATCCAGAAAGTGTTCTCGTAATTGTTTTGCTCTTGTAAGTTAAATGTTTTTATGGCTTCTTTTTCCCAGTTATACTTATTGAAGGCACTGGTCCAGGTGTAATCCTCGAATAGCAATCCACGGATTCCTGTAAAACAATAACAGCGATATAAAAGTGAAAATGTGAGCCACATATATTTAGATTAATATCGGAATAAATATATGACACGTTCCATTACTTTCACTGGTTTATGTCATTGTACCCTCTAACAGGGAAAGCCGTCAGCAGTTTATTAAAAGTAATATAAAACATTAATAAAAACGTTATGCAAAACGTGAGCGGTTGGGATAGTTAATTTACGCTCTCATCTTTCACATGAAAAAAGATGAATATTTATTACAAGAGTTCAGGGTGGGAGGGGGAGCATATAAGGGCATAGCAACTACTATGTTAGGAAATAACGATTTGAAAAAGAAAAGTCAAGTTGAGCCTTTCTACTGATATACTTTATCATGTTTCGTGACTATCTACAGTGTAGCTTGGTCGGTTAAGAAGATATATACCCCCTGCCCACACTTATTTTTACCTGTAAGGTTGGAAAGTCGGTATTCTGGCTCGGGAAATAAAATATCACTATCTCCACATCTGGTTTCTATCAAGCGCGTTCAGAGCTTCAGAGCTTAGGACAAACATATTGCTCCTCGGGCCAGGAAATCTGGAGAGGGGGGAGTAGAAGAACATGTCTTCTCAATATGGAAAGGTATATATTTTTGGTAATTTCCTTTGTAACATTTACGAACACTATAAAATACCCTTTCTCGAATTAATATCATGTTCACACATTTCTGTAAATATCCTGAATTTAAATACTAATTTTAAAAGTCAGGGAATTCGATTAATGACGAGAGAGAGAGAGAGAGAGGTTAAGACATTCTGTAAATGTCCCGAACTAGGGGAGAGTGTTATAAACTAAACACATCTTGGCAATAACCCGTAGCCAGTTAGCCTGCAGAGTGGTTTAGTTAATTATTATGATCAACATTATTGTTTATATTTTTTATTAATATCAAACAATTTTACTGTTTGCAGGTATACCTGTTTGGAACCTGTACTCTGCGCCATATAATAGCAATGGTGCAAAGTAGTGATATTGTAAAATCCTGCAATAAAATTTTCTTCAAATATCAAATTTTATTAGATAGTTGAATACAACATTAGTAATAGAACAGTAATAGAATTCAGTATAATGATACTGAATTGTTGTAAAGACATGTAGGAAGCAGGGTGATACAGCGCTCTGTTAGTATCATATTAACTTTTTTCTATTTTCATTTAAGTTTTATTTTATGAAATTTTCACCGCGGTGAAAATTATTTCTACCGCAGTGAAAATAATTTACACCGCGGTGAAAATTATTTTCACCGCGGTGGTAATTCCTGGCCATCTCGGCCCGGGTGATGAATAGGTAATGAGAACCTTACATTTGCCAGATGCCGTCACGGTGCATGCTATTGTTACATACACACAAGGTTGATGGATCTGTTCGTGGGGCCACTGCCGTTAACTTAAGATTCTCGAGTTTGTTCACTGCCCTGTGAAGCCATATTTTTATGGCCTGAGATGCCGTTTCCGTTACTTCGTGACATGGCCTGTCAAAAGCAAGTCTGCGCGCTCTATTCATCTTTCGATACTTCCACATTAATCAAGATACGGAGTATCAATTACAAGTGCCGGGAAGGGGGGGGGGCATGAAGGTAGTATCCTTGCGACACAAGGTTACTCTGCAATTTATATCTTTCAATCTATGCTGTGAAATAATAGCCAGGTAGTCCGTTGATCTCGCGAATCAACCAAATGACCGTTAGTTGAGTTGCTTAACTGCAAGTAATTTATCCCCTCCCCTCCCCCGAACGTCATACTGGCAGGTTTCCAAATGAAGACTAATACCGCAGAAAAAGTTTGGGGCACAAAAGAGAGTCAGCCAAGGACACGTTTGGGGAACACGTTAGAACACGTCATGATGGACATTTACAGGTGTAGGACCAGAACAGAGCCTCTGGTAAACAGTTTAGAACCAAGGAACCGAACTTGATTTGAGGACCCTGGCCCCGTATGCACAAAAAATCCTTATCTTAAGTGAAAAATTCTCCTTAACTTCATAAGAAAATTCTTAGCTGAGGAAACCCCTTAAGTAGTATGCACAAAGTACCTTAAGAATTCCCTAAGCCAAGAATTTTCTCAAATAATAGGAATTTACTCAACTCTGTTGGATTTCTCTTATGTGTTGAGCTATGTTTAGCCTGTGCATTGACCAATAGAATTACCTGTTGCAATAGCTCACACTGGGGAATCCCTGGGGAATCCATGTTTGAAGGAATCCTTATTTTTTAATTATTAGAAGAGTTGATATATCAATCGTGTAGGCCAAGAAGTTGTAACTTCTTGTGTAGGCCTAGTATTCTTCATACTCTGACAGAAAAAAAGGCATGTCATCCAATCCCCAATATTGACCCCACGTATGCACATATTAAATACCTATGTTAATTGTATAAGCATTGATGCGTGAGATTCCATGTTATCAGGTGGTTTACGGGGATTTCATAAGCAACATGTCATAAAAAGTGCCCACTCAAAAATTTTTACTTTAGATATCCCTTAACAGAACGACAAATTACAAATGTAATTGCCAGAAGGTCCGTAATGAAAAGTATCCCCGCTCTATCAAAACGATATCGCTGGTAAATCTCATGATCTGGGTAAAAATCCAAAGGATTTTCGCGGTCCCGAAATATTCTTGGTCTTGTGACTGCCCTTTCCAGTTCATCCACTTCTTCACGATAAACAGCAATAACCCAGCAGGCATAGTTGCTTTGGATCAACGTTGAAAACAGGTTGATACATTGAATTACCGTTATCTACCTAAATTCAACGTAAAATCAACGTTGATCCAGCCACGTCAAAACACCGTCATAATGTGACGTTGACTCAACCTTGCAGACATGGATTATATTTTAAAATATTAATTGTTGAAAACGTGATACTTTGTTTATTAATACTGTAACTAACTTTATCAAAATAATCAAAAAAGTGTTAAAAGTAAAAGTGACAGTTGTTTTGTGTCTTTAGTGAACTAGTGAATTTTTGTTAACTTGTTATTCAGAATTCCTTGCAAGGTCTGCTAACACTAGGATGAATAAGTTGCTGTAAATGTGATGGAGTGAATTAATAATGTTAACAGTTCTTGGTAACCTGTTATACATAGACAGGTTGAGGTGACTGTGACTTTGTTATATATATATATATATATATATATATATATATATATATATATATATATATATATATATA